TAGGAAGTGTGCGCGCCATTGTCACATCTGATTTTGGACTTTCTGCGCATGCGCAAACCTTCTGCACATGCGCAGAGGGTCAAAAACAGGTTACTTACTGGTTAAAACCAGGAAGTAACGATGTCCAGACAGGTGGGCGGAACCTCGCGCTGCCACCGCTACTGATTTGCCGAACCACACGCCACTGCCGCTACCGGTTTGCCTGAACCGGAGCAAACCGGAAGCATTTCACCTCTGGAAAAACACCTGTGACAGTTACATTGATATCTTTGTATTGATTGTTGTAGTTATGGATTGTACTGTTGACTTTAATGACATGTTCAAAGTCAACCACTTTGAAGCAGTATGAAAAATATTCTGGTAGAAAGACAAACAGAAATTTCCAACATAGAGAACTTACAGGGGAAGGAAAAATCTCTGCCTCAATAAGAAGGGACATACAGTAAGAGTCTTGGGCAGTGAATAGACCAATATTCTAATATTCTGCATGAAATAGTAATACAGATCAAACAGCATTAAACTGGACCTTGCTACAGTACTTAGCTTAATAATGCACATCTTGGATTTTTCAAGTATTTACAACATTTTGTGATTGTTTCGTAAATTTATTCTTTGGATGGATCTGGACTTGAAACTTGCAATGAATAGATACTTTTAGAACTTGTAGGTTTCAACTTTTTTTTTTTAGGTTAATTTTCCCTTGCTTCATGGGTAATGAATTATTTCTTGACTGAATTTTTAAAAATGCATGTATCAAGAATGTTCGTTGGTTAAGATTACGTACATAAAGTTTGTTAAGATTACATACATGATGTAATATTACATACATTTATCAGAGAATACACAATAATGGATATGGTGGGATTTATATTTACAAGGCCACTTGCATAGGACTTAACAGTAAATGCATGCGCTGCAAATAAAAATGACATGGAAAAACATGGTTCTGGAGACTGGCAACAGATATCTATAGAATGCCACACTTAATACTAAATGTTGAGCCTCATTAGTGGAACCTCTGCAAAGAAGATACAGGATGCTGAAATACTTTGCTCTGTACAGATGAATTCCATTTCCACCTTTCAGAATCCTCAGTCAAAATGAAAGTTGGTTGCACTATCAAGAAGCGATGGGAGTTGTAATCCAAAAATTGTGGATAGGTTGGACAAAAGGTTACACTTATCATTTCATTATTTGCTACAGGAATAACCATAGCTGTTTCAGAACCACTACCAAGCAAATGAGCAGGGGCTGCAACTTGTTTCATCACATCAGCTCATGGGGCAATGATAGTGGTATTTTTAGATACACAAGGGTACATGTTTAAAAGATCAGAGAAGAAACCTGCCATCTAGGCAGTTGAACTGGATGAATCCTGAGATCCTTTTGCAGTTTTGATGCTATCCATACAGTCACTCATATTTAATTACTTTGTATTTGCATAATTAAACATTGGGATCTGTGAATCAAGATGGCATCCTGCCAGTAGTTGCATACTTATGTGTTAGCAAGGTGTTTGTGGATTTGTCTAGGTGGGGGTATATCTAATAGTAATGCAGTGAAGGAGCTTAGCCTTAGTGACAAATTGATGTACTCAGCCCGCCTTACCAGCTGAAAGTAATGTATCTTTGATGTAGCTCTTGCCCAAAGCAGGGACGGGTGTGGTAGATACTCAAACCTGCAAAAATGTTGTTGTAACCTTTATGTGGCGAACCTCTTATCTCTAATTGTTTCTCAGATTCCTCTTAAAGCCCTGGAACATTTTCTGTTCTCTTTCAGGACAGGCACAGAACTGAAGAAATGTGTACATTTACAGGGAGATGTATACAATCTTGTTTTTAATTTGGTATCGTTTTCTTTCCAATCCCTTAAGCTACTGTATTATGGTATTTTTTTTTGTAATGGATCAGTTCTAAAGCCTGTGAAGCAAAATCTGAGCTTGTCTCACGCCAGCCTGCTCCAACCTGACATTTAGCCATCACTCTCTAACCCTAATCACAATCTTCCATTCAACAGCTGGCTATGCTTACTGGGCTTGTCATAGCTGTAGGCTAACACCTGCAGGACACTGGCTTAAGAAATCTGCTTTAAAGTTTGGTGAGCTGGTTTTATTAACAACAGTCTGAAAATTCCAGTGGGTTGGCTTTATAGGAGAAAGCTTTGAATGGCTCAAATTAAGCCAGAGCAATTCTAATGGGAAAACAGGAGCAATAATTATCTTGTCCTTTAAAAAATCAGAATATAGACACCCAGAAAAATGCATAATGATATTGATTTAAATACTTAGGTTTAATTCTGGAAGAAGCTGATTATTATCTTTTATAATGTGGGTTTTTTTTCCCCCAATCGTGAAACTTGAAGTATTATATCAGGAAGTTTCCAGACAGTTCTCTAATCCAGTTCCAGACTTGGTTAACTTTAGATAGATAGCCTCTCTGGATTTTTAACTATTTGGAGTTTTTTGTGTTTTGCGTTCCAAATCTTTAATATACATATTTCAGGGTTCTTTATTGATTCAGGAAAATATCTGCCTCATTGTATTTGTCCTAATTGGTTTGACACCTTTAATTATTTGAACTTTTCAACGCTCTTTCCAATCTTAATTGTTTTGATTGATCAGTAGCTGGTTTTGTAACCTGGCTTTTATTACGTGCTCTCTTTCCTCTCACTGCTATTGCTTTTAATTTAAGTTATAAGCAACAGTTCCAAATTCAGTCAGTCAGTCAGTCAGTCAGTCAGTCTGTCTGTCTGTCATATATGGCCTTCCATTAGGAATGTGGACAACACTTCTGCAAATAGCTGATTGAATAGTAGTCCCATTTTCAAGGTGCTTGCAAGAAAATGGAATACATGGGTGGACCTTTGGCTGAGTTCAGAGATTGCTATTATCTTCTGGAGATTTCAGAATGTGTGCTTCAAGCAAAGATTTAGTAAGCAGACAATGAATATCTGCCATGCACATTTCTTAACATCATATGGGAAAATTAACTTACCAATTTTAGCTATCCTCTGCATTTTGTACTACCAATTGTATTCATGTATGATTACATTTACAGCATAGTTTATCACTATTAATATTAAATTAGAACTTCTTAGTGGTATTTCACAGAATATTGCTACTCAGGTATACTGCTAAACCACTTTGCTGATTTTTCCACTCAGGTATTCTAACTTTTTACAATGTAAATTAATTGAAAAATAGGACAGACCCTGGGAAAAAATAATGAATGAAATGATGTGTTATAATTCTAATAGCAATAGTTTATTCTTCCCAAGTTTCCTGGCTACCAGATATTAAATTTCAGTTCATCTAACTTTTAGTACAAGTCAGTACAATCTATACCCAAGCCTGCTAGGGATTATGATAAAGCAACATATCTGGACCAGATTGGATCAAATATTCCAACTCATATATAGGGCTGCAATTTAGAAAATGACATATATATGACATTTATTTTGCCGTTATTTTTTTCACTATGAAGCAAACATTGGATATCATCAAAACTATTCTTCAAATCCCATTTGACAGAGAAAATATATTATAGGAATGGGGCTCCTTAGGTATGTTAGAACTATATCTAAAACATTCTGGAAAGGCCTAGCGTCTTAATAATTACCAGTCCTGTGGAATATTGATCAAAATTGGAAAGTTCAGGGGCAAAGAATTGATTTTCTTCCAACTGTTATTGATAAGGTTTTTAAAATCACCTGTATCTTTTTGATTCTAATTCCTGTAAACTTTGACCTTTGAGAAGATTGGCAGGACCCTAGAAGGATGGAATAATTTGGAAGTGCAGACTGGAGGTGGGGGAGTGACCAAACTGATTCCTGGTGATACAAAGATTGTGAGCAACAACACAGAAAGAGGCAATTCCATCTCTCCTTGAGACTCCCATATGCTCTCAAAATCATCTACAAAAGATTGGGAATCCTGGCTTAGCAGACCTGGAGAGGAAAGGAAGGAATCTTTGCACAAGCTTCACTTGTACAACTTTACTTCATCCCTGATTTGATTTAGTTCTAGTCCTGCCTTAGCCCAATTTTGGGTCAATCATACTCTCTCAGCCCAACTCACTATTCAGGATTGTTGTTGGAGGAAGAGAAAGGCGCATAACGTAGATTTGTGTCCTTATTTATAAAACAAATAAAGGCAGGAGATTTTTTTTTCTTTTTCTTTTTAAAAAAATGCATGAACTTGAGCCATGTATCCATATGACATAACTGGAACAGCTAGAGTATAGGAAGAAATACCTCCCTCATCCTGGTCTTAATCTGTTTATAGCCCCAAAGTGGTTGGCTGGATTTTTGGAAGAGTAAAACTGTTAGATTATGATTCCACAGATTCTGTTGTTCATAAAACCAAGATGTGTGATCAAATTCCTGTCACTTTTTTACATGCATTGCACATCAGAAAGAGTCATTAAATGCATTGCTGTAGCATTTTTCTACTCCCCTGGCTTGCTGGTGCTCTGGATGATAGAGACATTCATTTGTGGGGCTCGACTTATTTATTTGTAATGTGTTTTTTTTAAGCTTTTAAGTTTTGCAAGCTGTCACCAAATACATGTGAGAAGCTGTCCAAATTTCTGGGCTGTCTCTCTGTCTCTCACTTGGTATCAGGTTATGGGAAATGCCATAGGGATACCTACTGTAGTAACTAGAAGGTTTTCCTGCTCAATTTTTTTTTCATCCTTTGTCCTGATATTTCTTTGCCTTCCTGTCATTCTTCCTTTCATAGAAAGCAAGACCTACACATCACTGCCATCATCACTTTAAGATGTGTGGGAATTATGTATCATTGATGATGTTGCCTACCTGAATAAAAAGTGGCTCCATTTTCCTACTTTGCCAATGGATGCTGCCCACTAGGAACTCACTTCTAAGTTGACCCATCAATGTCATTGCCAATGTTCTACACTGGATGAATATTGCCCATTATGATGTCACACTGATGCTGTCATCATTTTAGGCAACAGTTGGTCAGTTGTGGCTTTTTGCAGGTTTGAAAGAGACAGCATTGCAGTTTCCTGGAGATGCCACCCACATGAAGAAGGGAAACTGACTTTGGGATGATCTTCCTATCAAAGAAGAGAGATCGATGCTAGGGTTATATATCTTCAACAACAGTCTAACTGGACTCTTGCAAATCCAACATCCAGGTTATTGACTCAGTTTTAGCCCAGACTAATTTTGCTTTGAGAGAAAACTTACTTCTCTCAGGCCACTAACTATTCCCATATTATGTGCATTACTTCCCCGATGATTAATTGTTATTTCTTACATTTGTGATGGAATCAAAGCCTAAGAGAAGCATTGTGAAAAAGGGAATTCTCTAAGCATTACATCTCTGGCTTTTTTTGGTTTTCAACCCTCAAACTCTAAAGACCAACAGGTGATGAAAAAGAGACAGAAGTGACTAGGAAGAGGGTTTGCTAGCACAGCTCCTGTCCACAGGGATGCCAACTTCAAGTGCACCATTGCAGAGTATTAGTTTTATCCACAAGAGGGAAAAGAATACAAAAGGTGAGCGATAGAAATAACCATCTTCCAACTTCCTTGATGGTGCCTGGAAGGATTAAAAATGTAGCCAACAGACAACTATTTCAGCCATCCACATCCTTGCTGAAAGAAATGTTTGGGGAGGAGACTGCTGGATGTCCCAAGCGCTTTTCAATCGCTATCTTGAGAAATGTGTCCTTTGTTTTCAAACCACGTAGAGATTCTTCTGCTTTTATTTCTTCAATCCAACTCAGATCTCTCTTTGGACACGCTGAATATTGATGAACTGAGCTCTAAATCCTGTTAGTTTCCTAATTTTTCTGTATTGTGCCTACCTAATACATTCTGATTGGATGGTTTAGAGTTGGGGATAAAGACATGTTGGCTGGAAAATTACATGAGTTGTAGATCAAACCATACGCAGATGATCCTCACATAGGCCAGTCATTTATGTATTGAACAGTAGACATTAAAGACCTTGGCAGCTAGCCTTTAGAGATACGAACCCAGGAAAGTTGTCCTGAAAAAATATGGCTATTATACACAGGAAACAACGAGACATTAAATCAAAACCTGAAAACATTTTTTTTTTAAATTATGAAAATCAAAGTGAAATTGAAGCTAAATATTACTTATATCACACTGGAAAATACAGGCTCCAGAGTTTACAAACATATGGTTAGCAGGAGATAGACCAAAACATCCCCTGTTCACATTGTAAAATGCTTGTTTTTTCTGCTGATTATTCTGCTCATTGGCTCTTTTTCCTTTTCAAGACATACAGTATTTGGACTGGTAGCAATGATGTCTCAGTCTGTGTTGTTCCTATAATGCATTTAACCAAGACAGGTTTACTATATTATGGAAACCCTAGAGCCATGGCCCTGAAGATAAGTTTTAGTTTTAGCCAGAAACAATCTGGGTTGTTGTTTTTTCAAGCTTACCATGTTTTTACCAGTCATGAAGATAGAAGATAGAGTGAAGATAGAAGAGAGCGTTAATAAGATTCAACATTCTCATCCAGCTACTGGCAGAGGGCTGAAATTTTAGAACACCTCCATTGAATCAAGATTTCTTTGGGAAAACACATTCTCTGTGGGTCTGTGGGTCTGTGTCTTTTTTCCTGTGCATCCCCTCCCACAAAGAGAAGGTGATCTTTTGAATCATTCCATCTTTCTCCTTCACTGAGTCAGAATACTGAACAGAACAGAATAACAGAGTTGGAATGGACCTTGGAGCAGTGGTGGAATTCAATTTTTTTTACTACTGGTTCTGTGGGCGTGGCTTGATGGGCATGGTGTGGCTTGGTGGGAATGGCTTGGTGGGCATGGTAGAAGAAGGATACTGCAAAATCTCGATTACCTCCCCACTCCAGGGAAAGGATACTGCAAAATCCCCATTCCCTCCCCACTCCTGGGGGAAGGATGTTGCAAAATCCCCATTCCCACCCCACTCTGGGGCCAGCCAGAGGCGGTATTTGCTGGTTCTCCGAACTACTCAAAATTTCCACTATCGGTTCTCCAGAACCTGTCAGAACCTGCTGAATAGCACCCTTCCTTGGAGGTCTTCTAGTCCTACCCCCTGCTCAGGCAGGGGACCCTATACCAAACTGCTATTTCCTTGCACGATCCAGAGGAGTATTCATTTTCTGAGCTTAATTGGGAGAAATAGTAAATGACATCTCCCACCCAACTGACATGGAAATAAAAATATGTTCAACAGCATCAAACCCTGTGAAAAAGGCCCAAAACTTCAGTGCTTCCTCTCTGCTAACTTGTATTCTGGAAGCAAAGAGATTTATCTTTAGCATTTATCCTGGGTATTTGCGAGACCGCCTTCTGCCGCCGATAGCCTCCCACCAGCCAGTACGCTCCCACAGAGAGGGACTCCTCAGGGTGCCGTCAGCCAGGCAATGTCAGCTAGCGACCCCCAGGGGGAGGACCTTCTCTGTGGCAGCACCTGCCCTCTGGAACGATTTGCCCCCGGAGATACGAAGGATACCAGATCTCCGGGCCTTTCGCCGTGCCCTAAAAACTTTTCTTTTCCATCAAGCAGGGCTGGCGTGAACCCCCCCCTTTTTAAGCTCTTTTTAGCTTTTTAGTTTTTTAAGTGTAAACTGGGTTTTAATTGGATTGTTTTAAATTGTGGGCCAAAGCTGTATAATTCTTTTAATTGATTTTAAATTTTGTATTGGTATGTTTTCTACCCTTGGCTGTGCACCGCCCTGAGTCCAATAGGTGGTATATAAATTGAATAAATAATAATAATAATAATTTTCTGGATAAATTTTCCTTTTCTCGCAAAAGAGTTGCAGATGCCTGATGCTTTCTGCAGTCAGCATTTTAGGATATAAATGCAGGCTCTGTTCGGTGAGGATTTTCTTTGTGTTTCTGGTATACAGTTGGAAAAACTCAGGTATGATTCACATCGCTGTGCCAATTTTCAGAGAGGGGTGGGGCAGAATAATGGACCTCACTTGAGACATCTAATCTGTGAGTAATGCAGAACACATTCAGTATGAAATGTGTAACATGTTTTTAATTTGTGTTGTTTAATTACAGTAGACAGCATCTTTGATTCTGGAAGCTACAGGGCCTTCGTCCATCCTCCTATTTCCCAGGTTTTAAAAGAAGCATTTTGACAAATGAATCTTGATGTTAGTTTACATGCTCGCAGTTCATTGTGAGAGAAGCCAATAAGCATTCCACCATATCAAGAACTCTTTTTTTGTTTATTTTTAAACTATATCCTTAATCATACATTAATGGCTCTGAATTCAGAATGAATTTTCTTTAGCTCAGATTTCATCTGATTCCCTTGATATTTTGGATATATTGCTAGACTTTTCTCACTTTGTGGCTCCAAAATGCCTTCTGATTCTGATCTGGCTAGATTGACCTCTCTTGATCAATAAATGTCTGTTAGACATTTTCATTTTCTTCAGTCTTGTTCTAAATACAAAATCAAGTCATAAAGAGCAATTTCTATGCAGTGGTGGGATTCATCCAGTTCGGGCCGGCAAACCGGTAGTTAAATTGCTGGCTGGCCCTGCCCTTTCCCGCCTCACCCATTTCAGGATTCCCCATGCACCCCATTTTCGCTCCCAGAAGGCTTCAGGGAGGCCTTCTAGGCTCAAAACACGGCATGGGGGGGGGGGCATGAGTCCTCCCTGCAGCCTGTTTTTGCCCCCAGGGGGGTACAGAATGCTGAGTGCTGCCTGTCACACCCCCTGGCGAATGCCCACCAAGCCACGCCCACAGAACCAGTAGTAAAAAATTTTTGAATCCCACTGCTGATTCTATGACATCAAAAGTGCATTGTTCGGTTTACACAATAAAGTAAATAGGTTTTCCCTTTCTATGAAAATTCATAGGAATCCCCACTTGTTTTGCTTTAGAGCAGAATAAAGTGTTAAGTGGAAGATGCACAATTTCCAATCGTCAGGAGGCAAATGCAAATTAAGTGCGTTCACTGCCTCAAATTGATCTAAATACACTTGAAAAGGTGGAATGAAATGGTGATGGTGATGATGTCGCCTAGGGGAAAACTGGCAAGAAGATATTTTTCCCATCTACTAAAAATGCCTCGTACTCAGCCATATTCCTCTTAGTTTGGCAAGCCTACATTTGAGAATGTACACGTTCCAAGATAAAATAAGAGCATTGCCCTGAGATACCATATCAAAAACTATGTTTCTTAAAGTATTAGGCAAAAAAAAAGTGCATGTAAATATTGAGACAGAGATATTACCGCTGGTTTCAGTTGGATCTCAAAGGCTAATTGATGTTTTATTAATACTCAAATATATTACTTTTATTTTCAATTTCTTTGAATGGTGAGTAGTCTCTGGTTCGCACTTCTCTCCCATCAGTTGCATTCTGTGATCAGTGAGCAATGCCATACCTCTCTAGTCAATTTAACTGCTGTGAACTGCCTAGAGTCACTTAAGTGAGATAGGCAGACATACAGATCAAATAAGTAAACAAATCCTCTATTTTTGTAGTTCTCCAAATCCTACAGATCACTGTCTGCGGATCCAATCTGGGTCAGGCACTGGGACCAGAGATTTAGTTTTCTAAACTTTTTGACTCGTGCTGGAGCACATCCTCAGATAACATCTCTCTAGTAGAGTATATACTTTGGGCTATTCTGTGCGTTGTATTTGTGTGGTGCCTGGTTAGGTGAGGCTTCCTATTGGTTGATTGGGGTGTTGATAGCTGGCTGTTAAGTTGTTGGTTGTTTAGCCAGCCATCAACATCCCAATCAACCAATAGGAAGCCATATCCAACCAGGTACCGCACAAATACCACACACAGAATAGCCCAAAGTACACATTCCACTAGAGAGAAGTTCCCTGTAGATGGGCCCCAGCACAAGTCCAAAAGCTTGGAAGACTAAACTTCTGGTCCCAGAAATGGATCCAGACCAGATTGGATCCTCAACAATATCCTGGGACACATATATTTGCCTTCATTTGTGAGATCACTCTCTTTCTTCAGTGAAATAATACTGTAATCACTTCTGAACACTGGAAATAGAGCTGAAATGATTTAACATTCTTTTCAGTTGGCGTCAGTCAAAATACAAGTTATTCATAGGGTGCTGCAGTGCCAATTAGAGTTGATTGAGCAAGATAAAGACATCTTTAACTAATTTTCCACGTATATCTTTAATCTCCTTCACTTTCTTATAGCAATAATGCTGCAATTTAAAACCTACAGAACCTTTTGAGATTATATCCCATTGACTGCAATAAGACATACACACCAAGCATACAGAGGTTTAGTTTTTTCACTTCTAATAACCAGTTTCATCACTTTCCTATTAACATTATTACCTTGTTTTATTATCTAGTTTTCCTGAAACTTATGTCTGGAAACATGAGTTTCCTTGTTTTTTTTCTCATGGATGATACTTTCGGATAAATTAATATGCAAAACTGATCTCATTTATTTTCCCACATTGCTAGCGTTTTAATTTCACAATTCTCAGGTTTCACTAAAATGTAAATCTTACTCAGACAGCTATTATGCTGCAACGGCTAAGTATCTATAAGATATGAAGCCCATTATTCAAATTTCCTCTACCTCAGGCAACCACAATTCTCTCATTTATCTGCAACATAAGTATAATAAGATGGCATACCCATCTCATAGCATCTTAGCCATTTAAGCATTATTTCTTGCTCTTAGTTTGTAGCCTTTTGCTCCTATTTCTTTGCATTTTAGACTTCTCGGGGCCAATTTTGTATCAGCACCAGCTGCTCTAAGCTCCACTTCACCACATCAGACTTTACTTCCCAGAAAGACTGTGAAGCCCAAAACTGTCCTCTCCACCACAGTCAATCTCCAAAATATTAAATAGGTAGATGAAATTGTCCATGACTTTGTGGGGAAGAATAACTGTTGTGAAAATGAATAGAGTTTTAAGATCATTATTTAGATTGAGAAGCATAGCTATGCTGATTCCATTTTAGATAGATAGATAGATAGATAGATAGATAGATAGATAGATAGATAGATAGATAGATAGATAGATAGACGGACACCGTAGATGATAGGTAGGTAGGGAGATAGAGAGATAGAGATAGAGGTAGATATAGAGGTATAGAGATACATAGACATATTCTATTTATATAGCTGGCCATTGAAAATATATGACTCTGGATGCTTCATAAACAAAATATATTAAAATATATTAAAAGAACAATAAAAATAACATAAAGCTATATAAAAACCATACATCAAAATCAAAAGTCATCCCAGAGGGCTTTACTTCCCACTCTTTCTTCTTCCTGAGTGACCATCGGGGCCTCACCTGGTCACCGCAGGCTTCTGCCTCTCCCAGCCACTCAGGGAGATCCACTCTGGCATGGGGTCTCACTGACGCTTCCCCCCAAAGCCTCGACTTCCTCCTGGTCACCAACATCGTGTGCTTGGTCCCCACAGTAGAGATGTCTCTCTGGGTTGACCACTATTGCAGTTGTAGCCTAATGTCAGACCTTCCCCAGTCAGATCCTTTAGGAAAGAAAGACCCTCGATTCCAATTGATCAAAGGTTATTTTACTAAAGGTTGGTGGCTGAAGTA